GTCCAAACCATAACATTCTGCCCCAAAAACTCATGTCCTTTTCACAGTGCAAAATGCACTGAGTTCATCTCCAAGAAGCCCAGTCTTAACAGTTCCAGCATTGCCCAAAAGTCCAGACCAAGTCCGAGTCTCATCTGAGACTCAAGTCAAATTCTTGCTATGAGTCCCTGTAAAAATCAAAAGCAAGTTACATGTATTCATTACACAGTGGCACAGAGTAAACATTCCCATTCCAAAAGGGAGAAGTAGCATAGAGAGTAGGGATGAGGCCAAAGTAAGACTGAAAACCAGCCAGGCAAACAGGTCTGGTAACTCTGCACACAGCATCTAGGACATGTGGCTGGAGATGTTCTCTCCCAAGGGCTTGGACAGCCCTACCCCTTTGATCCTGCAGATTCTAGTGCACAGGGGCTGTCCTTTAGCCTGACTGTCTGCAGTCAGCAACTTTTCTTGGCAGACTGTCCATGTTACTGGCATCTCTTAATTCCTGGAGTTTCCACTCCAGCTTCAGCTTCACCTCATAGCTTTATGTATCACCCTCTCAGGGGATGCCTGCAAGTTCTCTCACCGTGTTACACACCGCATGGCCCCACCTCCCAAGCTTTACTTTGAAATCTTGGTGGAAGCATCCATGACCCCTTAACTCTAGTATCGTGCATTCCTGCAGAACCAGCACCGCATGCATGATGCCAAGGTCTGCCACCAGCTTGAGCAGTCCCTGGGTGCCCTGGTGTCATGGTGTGGTGCCCTCTGAGTGCCTGTAGCTCGGCATCATGAAAGAACTTCCTAGACCCCTCACCTCCCATCAAGTAGAGGGTCCCCATTATCTAGTCTTTTTTTGGGGGGGTAACCAGGGATTAAACTTAGGGGTACTCAACCACTAAGCCACATCCCTAGCCACATTTTGTATTTTATTTAGAGACAGGGTCTCATTGAGTTGCTAATGCTCACACTGAGTGCCTCACCATTCCGGAGGATAGTTTTGAACCAGGGATCCTCCTGCCTCAGTCTCCTGAGCCTCTTGGATGACAGGCGTTTGCCACCATGCCTGGCCCTCATTATCTATATTTAACAGAATTTTCCCTTCCCCACCCTGAGTCTGTATTGGGTGTGGTCTTGCACTTAGGATCTTTCCTGGTGTCCCTATGTGAGTACTTAGCATCTCTTTAGGGTCTGTAATCTCTTCAACAAGCAGAGTTTTCCTTGACTCCAGATTCACATGCACTTTTCTGGTCAAATTGCAAGTTTTTCAGATCTTTCTGTTCGGATTTCTGCTCCTGATCATCAGAGCACACTGGGTTAAAAGCTGCCAGCAATATCCATTCTACCACCTGAATTCTGTGCTGCCTGGAAATTTCCTCCTCCAGATTAATTAGTCTATCATCTTTAAATTTAGCCTCAAAGAAAGTCGCAGGACATGGACCAAATGTAGACAACTTCTTTGTGAGAACAACACAAATAGGCTCTAGTCCAGTTTCCAGTAGAGTCTCCCTTCCCCTCTGAAACCTCAAGGACACAATCCACATTTCAATGGGCATTTTTGTCTGAGCTCCCACCAAGATCGTCCATTAAGCTTTGCTGAAAACATTCTGGTGTATTTTCAGCTTGCATCTCTAAACTTTTCAAAACTCTTCCCACCTGGCTCTAAAGGCTTCTGAACCACATGAACAGGTCGGTCACAGCAATGATGCAACTTCTTGTACCAATTTCTGTTTTAGTCAGCTTTGTGACCAAAACATCTGACAAAAACAGTGTAGAGGAGGAGAATCTATTTGGAGCTCTCAATTCAGAGGTCTTGATTCACAGACGGTTGACTCTACTACTCTGGGTCCAAGGTGAGGCAGAGCATCACGGGGAAATGGGCCAGAAGAGGAAAGGTGCTCAGCTCATGGTGGGGTCAGGAGGGAGGTGCAGGGTGCAGAGGCACATAGTAGCTTTTAGTGCAGTAAAATTCCTCTGAAATCCTTACTACAAAGCAGACTTGGTTTCCTAGCTGCTCCTGGATAGAGAGTGATGTGTAATATGTTTTTCCTGTCATGACACTAAAAGTCTTTAAATTGGGTATTTTTACTCTATTATAACTAAGAAGTTAGACATTTATAAATCCTACGAAGGTCCTAAATGCAGGTTTATTATTACAGTGGAACACTAAGGGACCATTAGGTCAATAAAATTTTTCAGAGAATCAGAAGTGAAAAATATTAGCAACATTGTTTAGAATATAGGAACTAGAAAGTTTAAATGTCCATGGGTGGAAATAAAATAGGAGATATGGCTGTTACTACTCAAGGGGAATGCAGACAAAATGGTCCAGAAAACACAGATAGCACAAATCACACTTACTTTATAAAAATCATTTTATTGTGATAGCTAAGGTGTGCTAGCTGGTCCGTGGGCTCTGTCTAGTAGTAGCCACAGGTGAGGCTTCAGACGTGCAGCGGGCAAAACCCAGCTTATCTTTGCCTCACAGCTCCATTCTCTGGCCCCTCGCGGACTTTGCAAAAGGAAAAGAAACCACCTTGAGGTGATTAAGTTGTGAAGTTTGGACAAAGCCTCGAGGGAGGGCTGGGAGAAGCTGGCACATGCTACCCCTTCTTCACCCACTTGTCCTAGTGTAGTGAGGACCGGGTCCTTATCTTCTGGGAGCAAACAAGTTAGATCGATGACAGTAATTCCGTCAACGAGTGCTGCCTGGGTTAGGCAGAGGGCTCGCCTCGTGGGCTGTGGGACCTGAGAGCCCTGTGAGGAAGCAGCTGTCCTGAGCCAGGTCCAGGAAGCAGGTCCAGGACGGGGTGGGCGTGGAGGGATGTGAGGCCTGGTGAGGTGAAGGGCGGCCTGAGCAGCAGCAGGAGGGGGCAGTGAAGCCCAGTGGCTAGATTCCCTTCCTGGTGGTAGAGGTTTAGGCTGGAATTACTCAGAAACAAGAAAAGCAAGGTTCAGTCGGAGGGTAGAATATCGCGGAGGAATTGACAGGCTGGGGAAGGGTCACAGATACTATTCTGTGGACTGATAGTGCTAACCCCAGTAATAGATTAGGTCAGAGTGGACATTTATGGGGATGCAGATTCCTGGGCCTTCAGGGACCATATATCACACACATGTGGCCCCTAGGAGCTACAGCATTTTAAAGTTTTTCAAATATTCCATTTCAAGGACTAAAGTATGGAAACCCTATTGCAGACAATGGAGGACATACAGGAAGTTTTTCAGACAGAGTTAAAATAAGAATTTCAAAAAGCATAATTTTATAGAAACAAGTGTCCAGCAGGACTTGTTGGAGAATCCCGAGTTTAGAAGGTAGCTTGGCATTGTCTGCCTTTCTGACCCACTCATTAGGCTCTGCCAATAGTCACCTGCCCGTGTCTTCTGTAGATTACTGTGTGATCCATTCCAGAGGCTCCCAACCCTGGTGCCCATCAGAATCACCTGGGTCTTGAAGAGTCTGACTGCAGACGGTGGCATTCAGGCTAGTCACATCTACGGGGACTGAGACATCATGATTTTTAAAACCGTCCAGTGCAGCCAATGCCGAGACCTTCTGCTTTAGAGGAATTGGAGAGTTAAGACACGGTGCTCTTGTTTTTCAAACTTGCAGTCTCATAGGGGAAATTAAACAGGCACAGACACGTGCATACGCTGGTCTACAGCACAGTGCAGTCACTGGAGGGAGACAGGAATCCCAGTGCCACTTGGTAAAGGGTGGGAGACTTCATCTCTGCTTCAGGGTGTTGTCCAGATGTAGGAAGAAAAAGAGGAGCCTAAAAATAGCTGGAAGAATCCTTCCTCCAGCCTCACCTCACACTGAAGTCCAGGTCGCATCCTGAGAGCACTGCAGGCTCTGAGCCCTCACCTCCATGACCCCCTCCCTTCTTTGTTCTGTCTTGGCAAACACCAACCCCACTTTCCCACCTGCGTGCTCACAGCTGCCCGTGGCTGCCGAGAAGCCTGCGGTGGGCTGCGGGGTCTTCTTTCACGTTTGTGACACCTGTGTTAAGCGGCAGTGCAGTCCTGTCACAGGCCATCAGGACGGTGCTTAACCCTCCAGGGGGTGTGCGAGCCACTTCTGCTTCCCTGGCCCCTCTGGCCTGGCCTGGAGTTGCCCGGGCTCCCAGCCCTCTTCCCTCTAACCCCAGGCCTTGGCTGTGTCTGTGCTTCCTGTCTGACTCTCTGTCTGGAGCTCTGTGGGCAGGTTTCTTCCTGCTGTAATGGTATGGTGGCAGATGGTGCCTAGTGAGCTCCTTCAGTGCCGCCTGGGGCTGGGCAGGGACCCCTGAGCCAACTGGGGTGCTGGGAGTAAGTGAACCGGCCAGTGCTGGTCTGAGTACTATGAGAACATCTGGAAACGCTGGGAGGGACCTCCTGGGCTGGAGACACGAGTAGTTTACAAAACAGAAAATCCTAAGTGCCACAGGAGAAGATGTGCTGCCAGGGTTTGGTGGTCAGAGAGAGTGTCAGGTCCCTTCTGAATGACAGGCGGGAGTGGAGGCCTAGGACAGGAGGCCCAGAGGGGAAGAGACGGAGTGGTGAGGGAGGTTGTTGGAAGGCCTTGGCAAAGTCTGGCCAATTCCAGGAGTGGGGCGATGTGCTGGCGTTGAGCAGAGGGCTCTGGAGCTGGACTGCTGGTTCCGTTGGTTATCACCGCACGGCAAAGGCAGCTTTGCCATGACTTGCTCCTTGGTTTCTTCATCAGTCGCCTGAGAATAATAATGGCTTCTTCCTTGCAGGGTTTGATGAGTGCACAGGTGAGGGTCTTGGAACAGTGCCAGGTGCTCTCAGGAGCTGTGGGGCCAGCACTGCTAGGAAGAGATGCTTCACCATCAGCTTGGCCCTCGTCATTTCCATTCACAGGGACTTTCCTGTTTTTCTCTTATTTTCCTTCTCTTGATCTATTATGAAGTCAGTTGGAAAAAACATCAAGGAAAACAGGATTGAGAGAGCCGAGGAGGCGGTGGGGAAGGGGAAGGCTGGGCTGTGGGTCTGTTTGGGAGTCCCTGCAATAGTTTCCTCTTTCTAACTTCCAGGGTCCATGCTGGAAGCTGCACCCTCCCAGTCTGTGTTCCACCTGGAGACGTCCTGCAAGCTGCAGGAGTGGACGTGAAGGCCCCGAGTGTGCGGGAGCAGACAAGCTTCCACGAGAGATTGGGAGGGAGGATGAAGCAAGGGAGAAGAAGAGTCACAAGTGATCCTGAGGTTTTGAGACTGCCCGAGTAAGAGAAGGATCTAGGTTGCCATTGACATGGATAAGGAAGCCTGCGAGTCGGAGAGACAAAGGACTTCCTGAGGATAGTGAGGAGGCTGCTTTGTGATAGGTTAAGGTGAGATTCAGATGGGTGGTGCAGGTGGCCCGGGGAGAGGGAGAGGGAAGAGTAGAAGATGCTAGTGTGTCCTCAGATCTGCCTTCCTCTGGTCTCCCACACCCTGATTTATTCCCTAGTTTGCATCCAGCCTCCTCTTCGCCAACCAGAAATCTGGTTCAGCTCACACCCCTGTGGATCCAGGGCTTTGTTGGGTGGGCTACTTGCCGCCCCCTGGGGTAGCCGTGTGAATGAGCATGAGTTTTCCTTTCCTTCCTTTCTCCAGATGGAGTGGAGATCTGTCGGAGCCCAGCCAACGTGATGAGTGTGGATGGTTGGATGTCCCCAAAATGCACGCCGGGGAGCTCCTCAGCGGGGAGTCGTGAGGATGAAATGAGCTGAAGTGACACAAGTTGTCCTGTGCTGCCTCCAGAGGCCCCGGATAAGACAGCTGCTCAGCAGAACAGCCAGCCTGGTCCTGCTCCTCGCTGGAGTCCAGCCCAGTGCTGCTTGGTTCCCGCGGAGGAGCTGGGCCTCGGGGTGTCCTGACCAAGGACGGAGGAGCTTCTGTATATGTATCCACCCACCTGGGGCCTCAGGACAGCCGGGGTCCGCTCCACACTTGAGCTTCTCTCTTTTTATGTCTTTCTGATCTGCTGGGGACAGATCGTCAAGATGGCCTTTTCAAAGCATTAGGTAGCTGGCTTTGGTGTTGGGCCCCAGCTTAGACACCACCCAGTTCGGTTTTGACTTCAAGGCTCAGTGGAGGCATCTTTTATTTTTGACAGAGTAGCTTATGCCCTAATTTTGTGTCCGTGACCTTGAAATCCCTGATAGCCCTGATTGAATTGGAAACTTCTCCTTGAACTTTGATCATCTGATCGGCACCCAAGTGAGACCGCTTGAGGCTCCTCTGGTGATGGAGGAAATCACAGAGTGGAGGGATGGAAGGGATGCTGCGGTTTGTCCCAAGTGACATCACACTGATGCACCCATGGTCACATCCACTCACTGAAAAGGTTATCAGTCCCTCATAAACTCCCATTCTCTAAGCATGAAGCTATTAACTGCAGCCCCATCTAAACAGCAATACCACAGGAGTACCCAGTGTTTAGCCCGGACGTAAGTCACTATCAGGCAAGAAGTGGAAATTTTATAGTGGAGTTTTGTGTAAACTTTTCAATGATTTTAAATAATAATAATAATTAAAAAACCAGAATATAAACTTGCATTTATGTCATACTTAAAACTAAGGGGGGCCAAGAAAATGGAAAGCTATGGAAAATAAAACCAATTGCTATGCTTGGGCTATCGGGATGATTTTTCTTTTCTATTAAATACTAGTGAGTATGGTATCCGTTTGCTTGTCCATTGTTCTTGCATCAAACTAATAAAAATGTTGTTTTTATTCTTTTTTTCTTTTCTGCTTAAAAATAGGTAAAGCAAATAAGAACATACCAATTTACAACGTCATCCTTCAGGGCTCAAAGGCAATGACAGAAACAGAAGTTCACTTAGTGACACAAGCCTTCCTCATCCTCTCCCAACCCATCTATAAACTGTCGTAGCTGTTTGTTGAACTTAAGTTTGCAACCTAACATGAGCTGGGGATCCTATTAAGAAGGATCAGTGTTTTAGAGAAACCACGACACTAAGTTATGCACAAGAGGGAGACTTTAGCCAGTTCTTAGAACAAGCGTGGTGACATTTTCCCTTGCACCCTGGGAAACAGTATTTCCTGGACCATGCTCCCCACATGTCTGATTGGCAGGAAGGGCTTCCCTGTTACTCAGCCTCGTTTCAATAGCTCCTGGTCACTGGGACTCACGCAGCTTGGTCTCTAGGTGTGGTCGTTCACTCTTGTGGCTTCTGTTCTCTGAAGACCCATAAAGCAGAGGGGCTGGCAGACTCGGCAGTTTTCCTTACTTTTTCCCAAGTCCCTGAACCGTGCGATTGGTCCTAGTGCAGGACAGTGGTTCCTAGAGGACAGTGTCTTCCCTCTTGTGATGGAGATTTGCAAGTAGAGAAGAGTCTGAGGTTTTTGCATTTAAAAAAAAAAAAAGTCAACCATGGCAAACTCAATTTGAGGTAATCTTAAAAATAATATTTCTGTCAACGTGGAATGAGAGAACGAGGCACTTGATTTTGTTGTCACTGTGGCTTTCGTGTGGTCTGTCTCCTAAAGGCTCCTGTGCTGCAGGAGGGTGCCTAGTGTACGGTGCTGGGCTGGTGGAGGCGGCGAGGTCCCGGGCCTTCGCCATCGCACATGGATCAGTGCTGGCTCCTGAGAGCAGGCCAGGCTCCGGTGACTGGCTTTGTCCTGCAGGGAGGATGTGCTAAGGCAAGGCTGGCCTGCTTGCTCAGCCTTCCTCAGGCGGCCGATTTCTCCCTGGATCTTCACCACACTCTGAAACAGCCAGAGTGGCCCTGGTCAGGACCCATGTGACTTTCTATTTGAACCTTCCAGCCACTGGATCATGCACCAAATGAATCTCTTTACCTAAGTTATGCACCTCCAGGCATTTTGTTACAGCACCACAAGACGGACCGAGACAAATGATAATGAAAGTGATCCCGGGGCACTTTGCCATTGCGCTACCTCCCAGTGCTTCTTATTTTTTATTCTGAGACAGGATTTGACCAAGTTACCCAGGATGGACTAGAACTTGTGACCCTCCTGCCTCAGCCTCCCGAGCGAGTTGCTGGGATCACAGGTGAGTACCACGATGCCTGGTTCCTGAGACATTTGTTCACACACACAAGGTGACAGTTTGGTCAGTTTTGTTCCCTAGCACCTCCCCTTTCCCTCTCTTCCTTCCTTTCCCTGACCCCCTTCTGTTGGTATTTGGAGGGACAGAAGATATATTCCAGATGTGTTAGTCAGCGTGTCATCACTGTGACCAAAACCCCTGATAAGAGCAACTCAGAGGGGGAAAAGTTTCCTTTGGCCCATGGATTCAGAGACGCAGTCCATGGTGGACTGACTCCATTGCTCTCCGTCAGGGGTGAGGCGGGACATTATGGCGGAAGGATGTGGTGGAGGGAAGCTACTCAGCTCACTGTGGCCAGGAAACAGAGAGACAGTGACCCGCCTTCTCCATCCACGCCCCACCTGCCTACAGTCACCACCCAGTTAGTCCATTCAAATAACTGATCCATCAAATGGACTCTTCTGCTGATGAGGTCATAGCTCCCAAATCCAGTCATTTCCCCTCTGAACATTCCTGCACTGACACTGGAGCATGTGGGACACTTGACACCCCAGTCACAGCACCAAGTCAGAGGAGAAATCTGAAATCCCTAGGGTCTGGCCTTCCATAAGTAGCACATGTACAGGACAGTTAGGTGCTGAGTCAAATAGAGGAGGGCAAGAAAAAAACAATGTTTAGCTCCTAAGTTGGTGGTAAATCTAGAAATCCGGGAAGAATTGTACCAGACGAGAATTTCTTACTCCCGATGCCCTCCCCAAGAGTAATTCAACGTAAATTTTATAAAAACCCTCTTGGCTCTAGGCTAGTTAGATAAAGAACTTCTAATTCTCATTATAAAGTGAACTTCTAAAATATGGACATGAAAATGGTACACATCCACAGGTTAATTAAGCTTTTAACAAATCATTTTGATTTTGCGCTTTGTTAATCTTTGCTCTCGGCCTGCTGTGTGTTCACTGTGCCCTGAATTCCTGTCTCCTCTTTGCTTTGGTTACCTCCTCCTTGCTAGGGAGGTGACCAGTTTACGAAGTGGTGACTTTAGGACTTGGCCAGAATGAACAGTGACTGAAGGCTCTCCTCCATCTGAGTCAGCTGGTGGATGCATCTGCCTGAAAAGAAAAAAGAAGTCAGAATCCGTCAGGGTAACTGAGGTAGAAGTAGAAACGGAGACACAGAGAAGAAAATGGTTTGCAATAATTTGAAAGTTTGCCATTAGGTTTTTAATGAAATATTTTCACCAATAATTTTAATTAAAAAAATTTAATTTAAAAAACATCATCAAGTAGGTTAAGTAATATAAGTCCATTTTCTAAGGGCCATGCATTCACTATTTAAGACTCCGCAAGTGAAACAGAACTTCAGACACACAGAGACTGAAGCCTGACAGTGGCCACATATGCAGTCCTAAAAAATGCGCTGCTTAAAGAGTCCTGGGTAATGATTAGCCCAGATCAGGGACTTCTGGCCTGACCTCGGTTCTCCTGAGGTTGTGGGCATGTGCCCTGAGGTGGCAACTCTGCTAGATCAATGGGAAAACACTTGCACCAGACAGAAAAAGACCTCAGCTGTCCCCAGCCTCCCACCTTTCGCTCTAGTGACGTCTGGGCTTAGAGAACAGAAAATCCTCCACTGGCTGCTCAGGTCTGGGGTGCGTCGTTTGGGTTTCATGGATCGACACTCATGCCCGGTTACTTTTTCTTCCTAAAGGGCAGGGACGTGCACCCTGCCTCCACCTTCTCCTTTGACTTGTTTATTTCTTCTAGACATCACATCTGGGTGGCTCCTGTAGGCACAGGGCTGCACAGCTGCCAGCGCTGGGAGACGCCTGCTGGGCAGCGCCCCTCCTTCTGCTCCTGATGGCCAGGTGGTCAGGCAGCCTGGAGCAAGGTCCTGATGTCAGGGTTCTTGCCACGTCCTCTCTGCCCCTGGTCTTCTCAAGCTGTCCAGGTCGCTGACCTCTAGGGATGGAGGTTGTAATGTCCTCAGGCCTCAGGGCCTGAAGAACCCAGTGCTGTTCTGTGGGCTGTGCGGTAAGTGCCACTTGTCTCCTGCCAGGTTTCCTCCCTGTTTCTCTGGGACACAGACTCAGATCAGTGCATCTGGTGCCAGCCCAGTCAGGGAGGGGCTCTAGAAAGTCCCCATCCACAGGGACGTCTCTGACTTTGATAGTGGAAATGTGTTTCTACCTATCAGAGTGGCTTGGAAGATGCACTATGAAATACTTCTGAGCATAACCTTCAAGGTGACTGGAAAAACGGGAGGCTCCATTAATGCCCAGGACGCCCCAGACCAGGCAGCTCCAAGGGGAGGGGGACACAAAACAAAAATGCACAGCCCACAAACCTGGAAGCTCCAAGATCCAAGAACAAAACAGAATAATGGCGCACGGGGCCCGCCCACAGCCAAGAAACAGAGCAGGGAGCTTGCGGGCACGACAAAAAAACCAATAACCACAAGAAGGACGGCACCACCAAAAAACCATCACCACCCACAAGAGCCACCACCCAGCAGTGTCACCACAGGAGCAGCAGAGGAGGACAACAAAACAACAGGAAGAAGGACAGGCCTCCAGACCACAGCAGGAGGGTGTCCTCACAACCCGCCCCCCCCCACACCCCGGGGCCCCCGGAGAACCCCAACCCCGCAATCCGCCCAACGGCACCGGGAACCAAAACCAAGGAAAAGGTAAAGGGAAGCAACCCCCCAACAAGGAAAAACCGCCGCAAGCCCTGTGGATAAAGGTGGGGTATGGGGATGACCTCCAAACAGAACGGTGGCATCTGTCCCAACTGCGGGCGTCAGTCTGTCCTCTTCCCCTCTGCTCTGTCGGAGCCCAGCTGACTTTGGGGGGTTCCATCGTCCCTCCTGGTTCTCCAATGGTGACCTATTCCCCTTGCTGGCTCTTGAGCAGTAGAGGCCCATCTCTCAACAGCTTCTCTCCTTTAAAAGTCTGGACGGGCTTTTTATCGAAGGAGGCCAAATTTGGTAACATTAAAGGAATCAAAAATTTTTGGCCAATTTACACTGAGTTGCATAAAGAAATTTTAAATGAAAATAGACTGTCTAAATATAGTCACAAGAGTTTTATGCATGGCATATAAAAAGTCTCTGTCTTTTGTAGGACAGAAAGTTGTGTTTGTATATTAAGTCAGCTTCACATTTATCCATGGATACATATGTGTGCACAAGTGGCACACAGTGCCCAAGTGGGTGCATCCTCCCAGAGGGCTCTGGCCAGGCGTCCGGAAGGATCCGTCTTCTCTTCAGCAGCAATCAAGGCTGCAAAGGAGCCCACTGAGAAGGAGGCTAGACTAACTGTCCTCTTCAGGTTCGCCGAGCACACTCCCTGAGTACACAAAATGGGATACAAGATTCCCAGCTTCTAAGTCATAACCGCTATATCAGCACACAAGTAAGACGAGGTGGATGGAATGTGGCCCCCAAATTCACAGGCAAAGGGATGGTGTTAGGAAAAATAGCACCTGGGAGGGGATCAGGTCTTTAGGGTGGAGCTCTACCAGTGGGATTAGCACCTTCTGAGGGGGACCCCAGGTGTCTGTGGCCCCTCCTTCTCCCATGTGAGGACACAATGACAGACGTGATGACAAGTCTGTAGCCTGCAGCCAGGAGTGGCCCTCAGCACA